CCTTTAGCTCTAATCATATGGACATTCATCTTGATTACATTCACCAAATTCAAGATGACATGAACCTCGGAAATATGCGAACCTTCCTTTGTTATCGAAATCCAACTCCACATGGAATCCAAAATCTTTACCTCAATTCTCTTTTCACACAACAACAGCCCCTCAAGACCTATCCTATTCCTTTCCCTTTAAACTTCCCAAAGCAAAGCATACAGCCCAAAAAGGTTTACATACAATCTTCCCTACTTTAGGTAGGCCTGAAGTATTCATATGATCAAAAATATCATGGAGTAGTCGGGATGGACAAATGAATGCCCATCTGTCTTTGTGAGCATTGTTTCTAAATACTTATGGGTGAAGATTTATAATATACATAAAATCTTGTATTTTGCGAGGGATAGGCCACTTCCAATGCTTGTTCAAATTAGGCTTGGGACTACCTCATCCGATTATGAAATAGAAAATGGTAAGTTGATTTAATTGAGAACATATGGGTGAATATCCTTCTCCTTAGCGTAGTATCTGTTTCCAAATCATTTTCCTAAGTATCATGTGTGTGGGGTAAGTGGGGCGTCCGAAACTCATTAGTGATGGAGTTTTCTTAATAGAACTTGCAAGTCATGTACAGACTTGTACTTGTGCTACTTTGGTGATTTATCTCTCCTGGGGGGACTAGTTCTTTGGATTAACAAACCAATTTGGAAGAGCAATTCAGTCTTGACTAACCTTGGTGGGAGGTAAGGTTGGCTCGACGAAGTGCATGGACATGCACTAACATTTGAGCTCGTGTCAAAGATCCTTGGTTCGAGGCCTTGGCCAAAATGTTCATAATAGATGGCTGAGTCTGTGGGACTTGGTGGGGCACTGAGACCGATAGGTTGAGACTTGGTTGGTTGAAATATGGGCAGCTTGACCTGACAAGACATATGCATAACTATATACAATAAGGAGTTGACCATACACTTGGTTTGATAGGTTTTGTGGACCCTAATAGTAAAGAATGAGAATTTAACCACCCCAAGCATATACTTGTGTAATGGCAATAAGATGATATGTAATAACTTTGGATGATTGAATTTCATGTACGAATAGTAATGACTTGAGGAAGGGATTGACCTGACCCTTAACACACACATCCCTCACCAACCCCGTCCCCTCAAAACCAAAAAAATATGATGAGCCAATATAGTAGTTATGGGCGTAAGCCGATGTAATTACCAAACCAAGTGATGGGCAGTAATGACAGTGCATGCGTTAATGGCAAAGCAATAAGGGTAAACATTGGGGCATGTATTTGGGGCTTTGTAAACTATTTTCTCGAATCCCTATGGGGAATACGACCAATTGTAGAGAGCAATAAGAGCAAGCTCTGCACTTACCTTAGTTGCCTATAACTTGTGATTGACATTGTGTGCTTCTTTACTTCGGTCCTCCTGCGTTTGTTTGTGTAAGGCTGGCGCTGCTTTACTTGGTATCTGACTTAAGCTTGTTGCTGCACAATTTGGCTTGAGTAAACATTTAGCCATCTAATTTGAATGATTTTCAAACCATTTGAAGTCAAGTGGTTGGATATTATGAAATGTTTCAAACTATTTGATGCATTTAAATATGATTGGTATTGGTACCTGTGCCCCATTTGGGCTCTTCTTTTTTTTTTTGAAAAATTTCATATAGAACTTTATTTTCTCGTATTATTTCATGGTAGGCCATCATTTCGTTTTTTTTTCAAACTACATAAGAAAACCTTTAAAGATTTCACCATACCCTTTCATCTATTATTTCCTGCTTTTATTGACTTTTGTTCATAAAAATTAGCCCCAACAAATCTTTTTATACTATTTCAACCCAAAAACGTTTTTAATAGGCGGAAAGGGAAAAAGAGGATTAGAAAAGTTTTTGGTATAAAAAGATTTGTTGGGGCTAATTTTTATGATCAAAAGTCAATAAAAGATGAAGATAAGAGATGATGGGGTACGGTGAAATTCTTAGGGATTTCCTTATGCTGTTTGAAAGAAAAACGGAAAGAAGGTTCACCATGAAATAATATCCAGAATTAGGGTTCTATACAAAATTTCCCCTTTTTTTTTATAACATTAACATTGTTTGTTATTTGTTTCTAATGTTAATTTGGAACCTATGAAAATGGAACTCCAGAGGTCACCTTGTTGCACCTACTAGCTGTAATTTCTTAGAATATTTTGTTCGCATCGTCATCAAAGAATGAGTGGTGTGCCTAAAACACCATCGGCTACCTATTTCCCATACCTAAAATGTCATAGAAAACATCCCTTAAAAAAAACAAGAAAAAAAAAGAAAGCTTTTTTACCCGTTAATGATTTTGTAAGGGCTTTTGACCCCTAAGATGATATTTTCACTGTTCTATTAATCGAAAGACCTGAAATTTGACCCCTCCTCTTTTGTCCCTTCTTTCCACCCCTCGCCCTCCATCCTATGTCTCTACCCTTGATTTCCCACCCTCCACTCTTGTCCGTGACCTATTCCAATGCTTTTGGCTTTCACCCTCTTCTTCAACTCTGAATTATCTATGCTTGGGTTAATGTCTAATACATGGATACCTTTCTTGGGGGTCAGCCACCTTGTTGCCAGACCCCATTGGCTGTCAAGGTTTCCTCGAGGGCTTGAAGGTGCTCGAGGTGCCTGAGGCTAACACTGTACTTAGGGGATAGTTAATTTTTGACCTTGGTGAACCCTGTGTACTATGGCATATTATAATTGTTCGAAGAGTTTTTTGAGTTTGGTCTCTTATTTCGTTGTGCCTTAGTTTTCTTGTCAGTTATCTCGTAGCTATACTCGAGGTTCCTTACTCTTTGGCCTTTCTTCTCTTCCATCTCCTTCTTACCACTTTTTAAGCTCTGGCTTTCGGCCGCGCTGGTTATGCCCCAGCCCCTACAGCGGCGCTGCCAAGTTGTAATCGATCTTATGGGCACTGCTAATCCTGTGTCAGTTGGCGCTTTCTTCCAACCCTGGCTTGTGAGTTTTTTTATAAATGGGTTGTTCTTTATTGAGGGTTTTGATTTGTTTGGTTTGACTAGGTGCCAAGGAGACTGTTGCATGTGGAAGCAACTTCGTTTGGATTATTTGGGTTGTGGAGGTTGCTAGTGATTTGGGGTCCGTTGATATTGAGTGTTGTAAGTGTTTTATTGATTTAAGATAGGTCTCTTAAGAGAGTTGAGAGCTTAGTTTTTTTATTTCTTCATACTTTTTTTCTATTGTAATATTGGGCTTTGCTCTTAATGAACATTCCAAACAAAAAAACAAGAAACAAGACAAAGCTTTCACTAAAAAAGGAGGCAATTGACTTGGTTTAGACATTGAAGTTCCAAAAGTCTCTTGTCTCTTTTTTAGAGTGAAGGAGTGGTTTAGATCTTAAAGTTTCAAAGCCAGTTAAGTTACCAAAAGAAAAGGAAAAAAAAAGGTGTCATTTGGATGTTTCAAGTCTCGACCAGTTTTTCACAAAAAAAGGGCAAAAAAAAAAAAAAAAAAAAAAAAAAGAAGGAAGAAGAAGAAAACAAGGACCTCGTTTGAAACTTAAAGTTTCAAGCTGAGTTCTTTTTTGAAAAAATAAAAATTCACGAAAAAAGAGACATTAGTGGATAATATGCAATATAGGGGACTTTTTAAAATTTCAGATATTTATGAAAATTTGCTTTTTATTAAAATAAGCAAAATGTATAGAAAATTCCATTTTGTTTTAAAAATTTAAAAGTCTCATACATTTATATTTCACACTCAATCCTCACTTTTTGGAAGCATATAGTATATTTTAATTTTATTTATTTTATATATCATGTTAAGCTCAAATTTGAAGCATCCATACTTCTCACCATTAAAATATAAAAAAAATAATTCACTTAAATACTCCTACAAAATTCATGGGTATTTGGATAGTTTTATTTCTTTCATATTTTGGCAAATGTATCCAGCTAGGAGATGAAATATTTAGTACTTTCTTTCTTTTGGTTTAATTTAAAAGATCCCATCAAAGTGCCATGTTAGGATAGCCATAAAAAAAAGGAAAAAGTTTATATGAGGTTGCAACTTTAAAATGTGAAATTAAAGATGCACATCAAAAATCCATTGAAAAATATTGTTTTAATAATAAAAAACCCTATAATTAATCATCTCGAGTTTTAATTAGATTGTTTAAAGTTGCAACCTTATATAAACCACACCCTAAAAAATATTAAAGGCAAATAAAATAGGTAGTTGAGTCAGGCTTCGTTGTTAAACCTTAAAGAACAAGTTATCCGTGAGTCAATAGGCACAAGTGGAGGTTATAAAAAACCCATCGGCCAAAAATAAATATAGTGATAGTGTAGAAATATCTTTAAAAGAATTACATTTTAAATATGGTGTGGTTTGGATAGAGCCTAGGCTCTCAACAATCAAATTAGTGCCTACCTTCAAATAGTATCGAGATATGTGGTTTCAATACCGGAAATCTTTGTGATAGACTTAAAATATGTTTTCATCTTTATTTATAAAGTTTAAAGCTTAAAAAATAATGTAGATCGGCAAATCTCTAAAAACTTGAAAATCTTGAAAATTGACGGTCTAAAAATACGTTACAAAATACACTATTTTCAAAACTTGAAATACATTTTTTTTCTGATATCCACAGATCTTGATCTTGAGATGATTAATTTGAGGATATTTGAGCATCAAAACAACCACTTTTGAGGTAGGCTCTAATTTGATTTTTTAGAGCCTCGGCTCTATATAAACTTTAACCTTTAAATATTCAAAATTTTAGTTTTATTATTTTCATATTTTTTATTATCTTAGCTTTGATCATGAATCCCTAAACCTTTGAATTAAAAATCCATGTTTCAGAGATTTGAGAGGGGGCCGCATATCTACAATATGAATCGGCTACCTCGTATAAACCCCATCAACCTTGTAATCAAAGTTGAAATAAAGGCCAAAAAAAACTCCCTCCCGCCATGGATTAAAAAACAAACTCATGATTAGGTGATGATTAGAGTGAGCTTTGTGTGTTAAACTGAATGCACGCACAATGGGTGAAGACGCCCATAAACAAAAAGAGAGGTTCGAAATGGCATGAATAATGGCACCCTCGATCATGCCTCTCTGAAAACCTTACCTACTCCCATATTTCTCCCTCCATTCTGCCATGTCAAAGACGAGACTCTCGAGCTTCTGCTCTGCCCTATAAATAAAAACCCTAATTACATTGTTTGAACTCTGAACTGTCCATGGCGACTTACAGGCTAGCAGCAATTATCAGAAACCCATCAGATGAGCTCCTGATTACGAAGCAGAGCCCCCCTCCACCTTTGATTGGGGAAGAATACAAGAATTATGTGGATTCTGAACTTCATGACATTCCTTCTGTTACTTTATCACCGTTGTTGGTTGATTCCAAGCTAGATTGGGTCATTAAAGGTGCAGAGGCTTGTATTGATCAGATTGACTTGAGAGGCTTTGATGTTAGTTCTGCAATTGATCAGGTAAATTAGCAATAAATTTTGTTTTTGAAGTAATTTAAGTGGAGATTTAACACTTATAATCTAGAATTTCAAGTTATGCGGAGATTATATGGATTGATTGAACGGCTAATAATGTGTTTTAACTTGATAACTAAAAATTGTAATTTCAATGTATTGCAATATGTTCCTAAAAAAAAAAAAGGTAAAAAAATGTATTGCATTATGGATAATATAAGTTGAATTACGTAGGGTGTCAGATTTATGACGAGCTAGTTAATGATACAAAGCAAGGTTCCTTCGACCGCTTTGAGATTGGGACTCATTCCTGCGCGGCTTTAACCGCATTGAGATTGGGACTCGTGCCCTGCGAGGCAGGTTTGAGTGTACTGCCTGAATAGTGTGCAAGCCAAAAAAATGGCTAAAAATTGAAAAAAATACAAAAAAATTGATAAAAAAAAAAGTAAGCTATCATCATCATCATCCAAGCCTTATCTCAACTATTTGGAGTCGCCGCATGAATCATATTCCGCCATTCTAGTCTATCAAGGGCCATACCCTCAGTTATATCATAACTCAACATATCTCTTCTCGTTACTTCCATCCATATCTTTTGGGGCTTCCCCTTCCTCTTTTAGAATCTTCCACTTGCACGAAATCGCCCATCTTAACTGGTGTTGTATTAAGTCTATGCTACACCAAATCTCCGTGTTGTATTAGGTCTATGCTGCTCATAGGCAGCTCACCTAAGTCTACTTTCCCTCACCATATTGAAAAAGCAAACTATGATCAACATTAAAATTCCAAATACGATGGAGAAAGATATATAAAAGATGGATTTAGAAAAGGCTTAGGTTTGCATAAGGTGCACACCTTATACTATTCAAGTAAGTCGCACCTCTAAATTTTACCAGAAGATATAGTTCTTGTATCAGAAACCTGAGGATGACTTGAAAATCCATGTTCAGCCCTAACTATGAAATTTAAAATTCCAAAATACTGAAGATTGATTAGATCTATGAATACTTGAAAATCTTGAAGATAGATGGTCCAAATAACTTGTTACGAGATGCACAATTTTTTAGACTTCAAATTCTTTTTGTTTCTTTATATCCATACATCTGGAGTCCAAGATGATAAATTGGAAGGTTTTCCAACTTTGGAACACTCTTTTCTACTGGATTTTTGAGATGTACCTTACTTCTAAAGTATGAGGTTGCAACCTTATATAAATGTTTTTCTAAAAAATTGGAAAAATATAAAAATAGGATATATGACATCAAAAACATCAAAATGGTGTATAAAGTATACATGTTTATTTAAATATGGTGTATACAGTATACATTGATTTTACCAAAAATAAATTTTTATAATTTTTAATAAATGTTTTTATTTTACTTGAGTCTGTACACAATAACTTGGCATGGCATGGCATGGGGCCGAGTCCGAGTGGACTTAACCAAGTTCTAAAACCCTGTTACAAGTAGAAATCACATGTTCTCATTAATGCAATAATGCTTTGTTGATAGAATTCTGTCGTCTATGAAGCACAGGACTCTAACATTTATGAGATATTTGAAGATCTGTTTTTTAGTCAATGCAATTTGAGTCCTTTTTACTTCTCATTTTGTAAAAAACTAAAACCTGGTTTTATCAATTCCTTTTTCAGTTTCTGCAGATATTCTCAATGAATTTGCTAGAAACAAGATTTCCTTAATATTAACATTTCATCTCGTTAATAATGATATTTACTAATATTTATTAATGAAGTCACACAATTTTTGATGCGCATTTTGCAATTGAAAAGTGTGCAAGATTTAGATCTAGAGGTATTTGAATGGGGCATTTACAAATGGAATTGTTCATAAGCTGATGTACATTTCAGAGTTGAACTACTAATTGCAATATGTATTCTTTGGAGTGCTACTAATCCAAACTTGGAGATATTGATCTTTGTGATGACTGCTCGCATCTATTCAAAACATTAAACTTGAAGGCCCTGAATGGTTCATAAGCTGATGTACATTTCAGAGTTGAACTACTAATTGCAATATGTATTCTTTGGAGTGCTACTAATCCAAACTTGGAGATATTGATCTTTGTGATGACTGCTCGCATCTATTCAAAACATTAAACTAGAAGGCCCTCTATCCACCATCTCTCATCTCTTAAATCATTGTCATCATCATCCGAGCCTTATCCCATCTATTTGGGGTCAGCTACACGAATCTTTTATACCGTTCTCCACTATCAAGGGCCATATCTTCAGTAAGACCGTAAGTCACTATGTCTCTTTTTAATACTTCCATGTCCTTTTGGGCCTTCCCCTTGCCTTTTTAGAGCCTTTTACATAAACCAAATTGCCCCTCTTAACTGGTGCTGTATTAGGTCCATTCTGCACATGGCCAACCTTCCTAGGTTCATTTTCCCTCATCTTATCGCGTATTGGAGCCACCCTTAAGTTCCCTCGTATGTATTTCAAATTCTAACCTTTCTTATCTTGCCACTCATCCATCTCAACATCTTCATCTTAGCTACACTCATCCTATGGATGTGTTGTTTCTTGACTGCTCAACATTCAATCCCTAAAGAATGGCTGGTCTTACAACCTTCCTATAAAACTTCCTTTCAGTTTCATTTGTATGCGGCGATCACATAAAACTTCGGATGCACATCTCCACTTCGCCGACCTAGCTCTTATTTTGATGCACTACGTCTTTCTCAATCTCTTCATTCTCATGGATCATCTACTTAAGATATCGAAAATAATCTCTTTTAGGTATTTCTTGGCTATCAATCTTAACTACTTCTCGTTTCTACTATTATTACTAAATTACATTCTATGTATTTTATTTTAATCTAACTAATATTAAAACCTTTATATTCTAGAGCATCCCTCTAAAATTCTAAGTTTGTGTTGATGCTGCCTCTAGTGTCATCAATCAAAACTATGTCATCCGTAGACAACATGCATTAACTCTCAATTATGTTATCTCTCAAGTCCTAATTGCTTGAGCCAAATGAATTCCAAATTACTTGTATTTATGCTTTTGCTTACAGGGAAAAATTTGGAATTGGAGCACCTCTTTATCTTCAATTGTTAAATTTGAGAAAGAGATGTTTGGACCATATATCTTAACTACAACTATCTTTAGACGGTTAATATTTCATCCATTAGAAAAATTTATGTTTATAAGTTACACACATCTTACAAGTGAGTGGTTCATCAAACTGCCATAATGAGAAAGTTGTAATGAAAAATGTACAAAATCCCCTAAATACACAACTCAGAGAAATAATTGGGACTCAACATATTAGAAATGAAAGTTGTTTGAAATTCCATTAATGTAATTGATGGAGTGTCAATGCAGTTATCCAACTATTCTTGTCTTTGAGTTAATGTTACCTTTTAGACATTATATGGTTAATGTGCAACCAGTTTGCACAAATAATGAGCACATGGTTCAATAATCACAGTATACATGACAAGTGAAACTAAAAAGTCATGGAATGAAAATTCAGATTGTAGTTATGTAATTATACCTTAGTGGATTTGTGATGAGAAGGATTCCTTGTTCTCTCGAATAGGAAAGTGCCTCCTGACAAGGTGGCATGAGTATTCTCAGCCCTATAGTCTGCAGGGAACAAAAGCAAATAACTCAAAGCAAAATCCTGTACTTTTTTATATATTGGATGAATACGATAAAACTATTAATTCACATTGTAGGACCAGAATGTAAACCCACTTTCACACAACATTTACATATAACTAAGAGTATCTCTTGTGATGCAATAGATGTAAGCATGAAAGACATGATGATAAGACCATGTTGATATTTAAATCTCAACATTCATATGGGTATGAATATGAAAGGTTATACTTGAAGGAAAAGAAATTCCTAAATCTCCCTCGTGGTCAGAAGCTCATTTACATTAACCGTTAATCTCGTATTCGTAACATGTATTTTGGAACTATTATTTAGAAAAGGCATGCAATTGACATTTCTGAAGGAGGAAGACTTGTCACATTTATTTCATTTTCCACAGTATTTGTAACATATGTATCTTGTTTTATTGTGATTTTATGATCTTTGAGACCTTATAATGAATCGGTAAATGGTTGTCCATAGGGTGGACATAAGGATTGGAGCTCCAAAGTTTAGTTATTCTCTTAAGGAAACTTACAACTAATGGAAATAAAAGGAATAAATTTTATTGTATTTGATGGATAGAATTGTCATTTATCTTTTGTTTAGTCTTTATTTGTCTTATGTTTCTAAATAAGGGCAATATTGTCCATAAGTTGTAATTAGGGTTATTACTTAATGTTATAAGAGGGGTAAAGGTCATAAGTGACCACTGCGCCACTCTCTTTCCCTCTCTATCACTTTATCTTTCACACGTCTCTCTCTCCCTTCATTATTTTTAATTTCTTTCCACTGTTTCTCTAGATCCTGCCAAACTGTTTTCTTCTTTACTTTAACTTCAACTTGGTATCATAGCAAGAACAAGAAAAAGAGGGGGTCGATCTTAAAAAAGATGCTCATGAATTGTGTGTAGGGCTGGCGTCATCCTTTGGATTAGAAGCCATCATCATGCCCTTGGAACCCTAACTCTTTTGTTTTTAGCAGTAACTAAGCCAATGGAGGTTGAGTTTTTTTATGATTCTAGATGCCGATCAAGTATTTATTTGAAAACCTAGTTGTTGGATGGATTAGGGTTTTGTATACCCCAATCAAAGAAACATTGTTAATATTTTTTTTTGATGTTTTATGAAAAAGAGGGAGTATGATAAGATATGAGGGTGTAACCAGATCTGTAAAACCTTTTATTTGAAGAGATCAATCAAATGGTGTAATTTGATCTCAATTGTTTATCAAAAAGATTTGAGGGTGTAACCAAATCTTAACTATAGTAGAAAATGTCTCTACCAAGGTTTAAAAAATTGGTAACTCGATCCGGAATAGCCCAAGACGCTCTGGATCCTATAGAAAAATGGGATTTGGCCGATTTTAGGTAGAAAA